ATTACTTTAATTCTATTTATGTTGAGGCTTCTTTGTGTTATTCCATGCTGTCAAAATGCTTTAATATCAGAGGTAATGCTTTAGTTTAGAGGCTTTAAAGTGGGGTTGGACGTTTTAAGAAAAAGAATGAGAATTGGCATGCTTAAACTTGGTATGTTTTGTTGAGAAAATGAGATAGTTTTCCTTATGTTTTAGCCTCTTATGGGATATTTTGCTGAGCATGTTGCAGGAGTGTACATTGCTGCTACTTGGCCTTAAATTTCTCATTGAATTGCTCCATGGGAAAAAGAAGAGAATAGCATGATTTTGAGGCTTGATCTACACTCGTTTGTATTGTGTTGCTGTGATATATTCATACCTATAAATTGCTATTTTATATGCTTTTTAGTGTTTAAATTTAGAGGTTATTGCTTAGCTATCTTGGCCTTGAATTATTTGGAAATGTTGACAAAATTAGTTATAGAATGAGAAAGAGGGAAATGAAGAACATGTTATGTTGTGTTTGAACCTAAATTGCTTGAGTAGTTGTTGTACCTGTTATGTGTTTCCATTGCTGAATAGGGTCTTGTTAGTTGGCCTTGAATTCATGAGAAAATGAGAAAGAAAAGGGAGCCCTAAGCTTTGTCCTTAGGTGTTTAAATCCTAAGTGATTGGGGTCTTTTGAACCTAGTATAATGAGTTTTTATGACCCTGAAAGTTGGCCGGTTCGAGCCAAATAAAAATGATTAGAGAGTTTCTTGTTTTTTGAATGGATGTAAATGATTCTTTTTGAAGTGTAGTGTGCATTCTTAAATGTACCCTTTTTAGGATATTTTTCTTCAATTCTCATTTTTATAAAAATGTAAATTGAGGCATTTCTTCATTTTCTTAATTTGAAAACAAATTTTCAAACAAATCCCTTAGCTCTTTGTGGTGCTTTTCTTGGAACACGGCGGATATGACATCTACTAATGAGGTATGTTGTTTTTTGGTGAACAAATATTTTTGTAGTTTATGTGAAAAAAATGTCTTTTTGTATTCAAGAAACTGGTCAGTTTATGTTTCAGAATTTTATATTTTTTGCCCAAGAAAGAGTTTTGTAGTTTATGTGAAAAAGCTTCTGTTTTCTTCTTCAATGTTGAAGAAATTGTTTGTTCAACATAAAACAATCTAGAAACCGGTTTCTTGAGCAAGAAACCTGTTTCTTGGTCAAGAAACCTGTTTGACAGATTTGTATTTATATTTGTTTATGTCTAAATATTTTATTTTTATATAAGTAGGAATTGTTTAAAAAAATAATATTAATTAATTGTTTCATGATTTTAGGGTGATAGTTGGAATTGGAGATGGTAGGGAGGTCGCAAGTGGAGTGGTAAAGTAAATTGTCATACGACAATTAATTAGCCACATAACGACGCAACTAGAGGTTTGTGGCCGACTTAGGGAGTTTGAACAGTCATGTTTTCGTCAGTTTTTAAGATTCGATGCAAAAGCGTTTTATAGTGGAAAGCTATTGATCGCTTTACTTGGTAGGGAGGTAGTCGTAGATTCCGCTCGAGAGAACGAGCGTTGGTTTAGAATAGGAGGTCAAAATTATAAATTTGGTAAAATTGAGTTTTGCCGAATTACCGAGTTTAAGTTTGGGGTCTCGTCGTTCATCCCGGATGAGAACGAGAGTATACAACCACCGAGAGATGGGGTATATCGCAGCAACTATGACGGACGTAGTTTAGTCGATGGTGATTTGTTGAATGATTTCAACAACGGTAAATTTAAGAATTACCTCGACGATGCATTAAAGGTTTCACCCAAACCCTAAAATTTCAATGATTTTATGGTCATTTTTATCTAGTTTACGTTGACTTGAGTTCATTTTATTCTAATTCTAAAGTTGAATAGGTATTTTGCTTTCCATTATTTTTTTGAATTGGTTGAGAATTTTGTAAGTGTTGTAATGATGAACTTTGGTTGAGTTGAATATTGTTTGGTTTGAATTCTTGGTTGTTGTTGGAAACACATGATTTGATTTTGTAGGTTGTGTTGGTGGTGATTTTGTAGGTGGTGAAAAACAAGTGACACTGTGCCCACAAGGTGTTTGACGAAATGGCTAAGAAGAGACAACGTATACCAACTCCCGAAACTTCTCCATCTCGTGAGGACTCTCACTCTCACAAGGACACGGAAAGTGAGGAAAGTGAGAAAAGTGGACCCAACACAAATAAAGACGGAGATGAGCCATTGTATTAAATTGACCTCGATCGAGAAAATATTCAAAAAGAGTATGGATGTCTGTTTCCCATATACCTTGCGGATGAAGGCGTGCACTTTAGAAATCTTGACGAATCATTTATCACCTAACCTTGAAAAATTGATTGGCAACTTTTAGAAAAGATCGGGATTGGCAACAACGTAAAAGAGTACCTCACCAATGTCAATCTTTTGCAATACACGGAAATGCAATATCCGGCTTACCACCCCCTAACACTTGAATTTATTAGCACAACGAAGATTGAAGACAAAAACAAACTTCTTACATGTAGGATGATGGGGTGTAGGATGATGGGAAGAGAGAGCGGGGTGACACCCAAGATGATGAAAGATGTTTTCGGGTTCACGTCCGTGGGCACTAAGAAAAAGCCCATAGATTATCTCAAGAGGGCTCCAATGGATTGGAAGGTGATTTCCGGGAGTGACAAATTTACATCAAATGGGGCTCCTTTTTGTCTTGTGAAGGATGTTGCTTTAGGCTTTTTCGGGAAGTTCACCGCTTATCAAGTCTCGGGGAAGGATCAAGCTACTAGATTGAACCAACATGAACTTTTTATAATGAAGTGTGCCATGGATAAAAAAAATCAATGCCACTGAATTTATTTGGGCAAGCTTAGCCGAAATCCAAGCACATGAACGGTATCATCCGTCGTTTGGGACTTTTAAGACGGCATTGGCAATGCACTTTCAAATTTTAAATCCGGTGAGGCTTAGGATACAAATGGTCACACGGGCAAAGATTATTGACAGGGAAGAGTTGACTCGTTGTGAATTCATTGATAAGAATTTTGCTCTTATCCCCCACAAAAAGAGACCCAAAGTCGAGCGTTTCTTTAAAGGAAATATTGCAAAAGGGAAATCGTTTGATACGCAACAAATTGGCGGGACCGAATAGGATGCTGAAGCACACGACGGGGACGGTGCTGATACAAGTTTCACAAAATCGGATTGGATGGAAAGAATTCTCAATCAATTGACATCATTTGAGGGACATGTGCGGACACTGTTAGATGCAATTGATGCTTGGTTAGATACAATTGATGCTCGTTTGGATTCATTGGCCACTACTCGATCCATAGGACCCGACGTTCCCTCTTCATCCACTCATCCACAGTAAAAGTTCTTCTGTTTCTTCTTCATTTTTTTAGACTGTAAAATGCTACTTCAATTTAATGTTAGTTTTTGTTTCTTTTGATTGTTTTGATGGTTATGAAACATGTGAAACCTCAACTGCGGCTCGAAGTTCAACCGCGGCCCAAATTGTTCATTCATGTTTGAAGTTCAAATAATCATCTCACAGCCGGTTGACATGTCAACTCCGGTTGGCAAAAAGACTACCTCAACCACGGCTCGAAAATCAACCGCGGCTCACATCGTTATTTTATTTTTGTTTTCTTTTTGTTTTGTTTTTTTATTATATTTTAAAAAATGGATGCTTGTTTACTGCCGGGACAAAAATATGACAAACAACACAAATAAATTCATCCATACAAATCATTCATACAAATAACATTCATTTACGATCAATAAAAAACAACAAATAAAAAAAAATCAAAACAACTAGGTAATGTTTTGAGGACACTTGTTCCTAAGATGGTCGGGTTGCTTACATTTACCACACAAACCAACTTTGGTACAGGGATGTCCAGACTGAGTTGGTTGCTCAACAATATGGACAAATGCAACACAAGTTGTGGAGTAATGCCCACTTTCGCGGCATCGTGTACAAAATGATTTACTTCAAGAGCTCGAAGAAGGGCCAGTATAAGGTATGCGGTTTGACCTCGATCTTCTGGCTTGCTTGGGATCAATAGGGCATTTGACAACCATCAAACTAGTCGCTGCAGTTAAGTCCCAAGTCGTTGGATGCACAATTGGCATGATTCTGGGCTCGTAAAGTTTGCGCCATGTGGTGGTCTTGTAGTAGTCGTGCACATATCCATACACCGATTCGTTTGCCTTCCTAATACATAGAATACAATAAGTGGAACACAATATAATATTTTCTTATGGGTAAGATAACAATAAGTAAACTTTGAGGCTTTTACTAAATTAAATAAAACATAATAAAAATTACCCAATAGCCTTAATCGCATGTGAACAGAGCAATAAATCGACCTGATAGAGATAACAAGTGCAAGTCCGATCCTTCAAATTAACGACAAAATTCTTGACCCCGTCCTTCACGTGATAAACGTACTGATTGATATTTGAAGCTTCCATTTGGTCCACTTCTGTTTTATAATCCATCAAACGCTTGTGTTGTAAATATATTTACCTGAATAGAATCAAAATATTCGAACACCGGGTCGTGTCTCTCGAGGAAAGTTAGCCGGATTATTATGCACGTTTATTCAAACACAAGTAAAAGAAATAAAATTCCTAAACATACTAATTCAGAGATTGGTTTTGGTTTTAATTATCACTACTACGAAAATTCAGATTAAGCAATAGAAATAGCAAGCAACAACGAAGAACAAGTAAGATTTAAGAAGCTAGGGAGTCGAGGATATCCATTTTGGTTCGAATTGCAATTAATGGGCAAATGATTGTTCGGTTAAGTGATTTGAATAACCTGCTCGTTCAAGTACTCGTCCTTAATAGCTCTTCGTAACAAGAGAACAAACTTGAACGACAAATTAACAAGTCATTTAACACCTAGGCAATACAGTTACGAACAAGCCTAGCTTATACGAGCCTATTTCGACCAACTCCTCCCCTTTCGGTTCTAAGAATCGATTAATATATACTAGAGGGTGGCTTTTCCCGAATAATCAAATAGAATCACCAACTTAATGCATGAATAAATCAAATTCAATTGAAACAATTGGGAATTGAAGTGTCACCCTTCAACAATTCTCAATATTCAAGAACGATAATTGAAAACCCTTATAACGATCAACTCGCATAAGAAGAACAACCAACGAATTACCACAATCGCAATCGAAATCAAAACATCATCCCCAATTCCCTAGCATATGGATTTAGCTACTCATGATCGATTCAACACAAACAATCCCACAAATCAAGACGAACATATTCATGGATTAAAGGAATAGAAAGTCTTACGATTAATACGAATTTCAATGTCGAATCCCACAAGCAACCCAAATCTGAAAGATAAAATGGAGTTTTCTACTCTCCAAAATCAAATCCAAGTGAAAAGAGAAGAGAGAATATGGTCCAAGGTGAAGAAAATCGAAATATAAGGTCAGCCCTAACTTGATCTAATAGCCTTCCTATTTCAAAATCCATGAAAATCGCGATTTGTTAAAACTGTACCTTAGCGGCGCTAACCCCTAATTAGCCTGAAAGTCTCTGGCGTCGCTAGCACCTCGCTAGCGACCATAGCGCAGCTAGTATTTCACCCTTAGCGCCGCTAAGTCTGGGCAGCTTGCGCGACTTCATGTCTCGGGCTCGTTTGAGCTCGTCCGAACTCGGAATTGAGTTCCGCTTTTTCCCACATGTCGCCAACGAACTCCTCTATTAAATTATGCATGCCTAGCTAATATTTTCCATAAATCCTATCCTCCCAAAGATTCTGACATGCACACAAAAAACGAGACAAAAAAAGCAGAAAAACGAGAAAAATAAACAAGAATTCCTAAATCAAACAAAACAAAGAAAAACACATGACAAGACACAAAGCGGACCAAACACCAAAGAAAAGACCTAAACATGGGGAAAAAGAAACGTAAAATAATAGCGAAAAACGAAACAAAAATGGGACAAACAACTCCCCCACACTAAAACTTTTGTTCGTCCCGAACAAAAAGAAAGGAAAATAAAAGAAAACAAGCAAATGAGAAAGGACATTGGCTTCAAGAAAAACTAGTGTCTAATGAATCAACCAAGTCGAGAAGAATTCCAATGATCATAAGAACACGCCTCAACTATTAACTTGGCTATTTTGAAGAATTCAGACTCTCGAGTATAAAAGTATATCATATGTGCCTCACCCAATTTCTTTGGCAAATATAAGATAGATGCACTCAAGTTGGTCATCAGTCAAGTCAATCATAAATTTGCCTATCGTCTAACCTTCACTCTAAACAATCAAATTCATGAAACAATGAATCAAGAGGACTTTAAGGGATGTAACGTAGGCTCTTTGGATCGGGTAGGATAAATATAGGCGGCTCAATATAGATCAACTCAACTCAATCACATAACCCTAATCATGAACTCTTCTCGTTATCGACATCAACCGGTTCCTCCCACTAACTCCAAAACCAACACACTTCCCAAGCATATTATTCTCTCTCTCTCTCTTTTTTTGTGAGAACCTCTTGGACATTTTATATAATCCCTTTGGTTTCTCTCTCTCTCTCTCTCTTTTTTATTTTTTTATTTTTTTTAATTTTTTTTTGGCGAGAACCTTCTGGACATTTTCTATAATCCATTTGGTTTCTCTCTTTTTCTTGTATATATCAAATAAAAATATTCACAACTAAATCAACCGTCACCTCCAATTCTCAACCTACAATGCTATCATTGCGAGGTTATCAATAAAATTCAAATAAGCCTCAAAGGGGGTGACTAGTGAATGTTATTTCGGAAAAAGAAAGGAAAAAAAAGGAAAAGAGAATACAAGGAATGCCTCAATCACGTTCAAGTTCACAAATCCAATCAATTAATTTCAAAGTAAACTCAAGGAAAATTCTAATTGACAAGTACTCCGACCAATGTCTCACAAGAAATGATATAGGCTCAAACCTCACAAGGTAAATAGCTGTCAAACAAAACAACCAAGCATTTCATCGAGATGTATCACTTATGCTCATCATGACATCTCCTTGACTCAATCAACCGTTATCAACCAATCTTACAATTCACCAAAGTCCGAACTCAGAAAGACACAACAAATAATTCTAAAAACTAGACTGGTCCGCCAAGCAAGAGAAAATAAGAAGCAATCCTAAAAAGAAAAAAAACTAGACCTAGTCAACCACATAGTAACGTAAGCACGTAAAAACTCTCCCACACTTAAATTCAAACAATGTCCCCATTGTCGATCATCAGTGGTAGGAAAGTTTACCCCACATAATCAACCAACACGCAAAAATAGAAAAACTAAACCAAATACCAAAAAGAAATATGATAAAGAGAAGGGAAAAGTACAAACGTACAGGGCACAGTGACTAGAACAGTCACTGGGAATCCGGTGGTGCAGGTAGAGGGTGGAGGTAATCGGGCCCTGAACAGCAGCGGACCTCTGTCAACTCCAATCTCTGCCCCATTCGGAATGGGGCAGCTCCTTCGAACTCAGCTGGGGAGGGGTAGTGTGGCTGTCGGTATGGCGTCCCATCTCGATGTGGGCACGGTCCTGCAATGACCTCTTCGTGTACTCTCGCATACACGCTTCCTCAGTCAGCTACTCAATCGCCCTAAGGGACATGCACTCTTCCACAGAATTTGCCTGCGGATCAGGCTGGGTCTCTCGAACGGAAATTGAAATTGATTCTCCCAATACGGTCATGCATGCGGTTCCCTTCTTCACATCAATGACTGTGTCGGTGGTAGCCATAAAGGGTCGTCCAAGGAGGATGGCGTGCTCCTACTGTTTCATTGTGCGTTCCCTACATCAAGCACCACAAAGTCCACGGGGACTATCAGCTTCCCCACACGGACGAGTACATCCTCCACAATCCCTTCTGGGTGATGGAACGAACGATCTGCAAGCTGTAAGCGCATCCTGGTGGGCTTCAAATCTCCAAGCCCGAGCCGATGATAAACCGCGAGTGGCATAAGTTTAATGCCTGCTCCGAGATCAGGCATCCCCGAAACATCTTGTCCACTCCCAAAATCTATGTTGATCACAAAGCCACCGGGGTCTCTTTCTTTTTTCGGCAAGTCGTGCTGGAAGACACTCGCTGCCTCAAAAATTATCAC